CCCCAAAACCCCAAAACCCCAAAACCCCATAAGTCAAATTTAGTCTTAATAAAAGAATGAATATATTAATTTTTAAATGAAAAATAATTAGATGCAGAATGATGTGAAAAACAGCAAAAATCAGCAAAAACAACTAGATTCAGGGGAATTAAGCCTGGAATCTTTCGGAGATGAATTTCCTTCAAGCGATCTACATAATATACAAATCAAGAAGCTAAGACCTATGTATGCAAGTCATTAGGAAAACCCATTTAAAGGACTTAGTTTAAACAGAAATGGTACTAAAGGTGGGATGCAAGACATGGAGCAAGGTGACGCCTTCTCTTAGCATAAGTAATTCCCCATTCATAGTTTTGATGCAGTGCAATTCCGACTTGGGCGAAAAAACACCCTAACAAGTAGGATAGAAGAGATAAAGAAATCCCCTGCTTTTAATGGTTGCAACTACACTTCAGTACTAGTGCTGATAGGTATTATTCTGATATTGGTAATTAGAAATCTTATTAAACATTCCCTTTTTATAGATAGCAATCTTGGTTACATTCTATGTCTACTGGGATGACATAATCCTTATGATTGAGCCATTTTTCTTTTGGTTTGAGATTCACTTCTACCAGGGGATTTCGCTATATGTTATTATCTTCGTAGCTATGACTATTTTCTTTCTGCCAACGACTTTTTTAAATCTCGGAGGGGCGCTAATCTTTACTAAATTCAAAGGTCCAACTGTTGGTTTTCTACTAACTGTCTTTTTGATTATTCTATCTTCAGTTGTTGGAGGTGTAATAGGCTTTGTTATTGGCAGGTTCTTTATTAGAAATTGGATTAGAAAGCATTTAACAAGAAGAATAAAGCTATTTCGTGCAATAGATTTAGGATTGAAGAATAATGGGTTCAAAATGGTATTACTTATGAGAATGACTCCAATAATGCCGCATAATTTATTTCCATATATAATGAGTGTTACATCTCTTAGGATAAAAGATTTTGTCACTGGAAGCATCGTGGGAATGTTCCCAAATACTTGCATTTATGTTTATATCGGCATGCAGTTAGACTCAGTAGCTGATATTATAGATGGAAATTATGGACTTGGACCTTGGTAACCTGTTTTGATTACTGTTGGAATAGTCATGGTAGTAGTACTCACATCTCTAATGATAACATTTTCTAAAGAAGAACTTAATAAGCTAATTTAAACAGACAATTAAGTACCGTTTTCAGGAATGAATAGCATGAGTATGTCTCTAGTGCATCATTTTAATGACTCGCCAGAGCAGTATAAAGTTAATAAATAATGAGACTAGGTTGTTGAATATTAGACATCATGACAATATGACAATAATTAAATTTAGACTTTAATAGCAGTGTATGATCCTTGCAATATACAGAATAAGACTAAATAAATTCTAAGCTTACTAGGAAACTTTAATTAGCTAGCTAACTAAATAAATCAATGTCAATTATTTATTCACCTTACAATTTTAACCTGACTTATTATCAACTCTTTACGGGGTTTTGGGGTTTTGGGGTTTTGGGG